GAGGGAAGGAAGGAGGGGTAGGGTGGAGGAATGGGGGAGAGGGACATTGAATGGTTGTCAGAAGCATATGGAGAGGAAAGAGAGGAAGGCAGGAAGAGACAGGAGGGACAAGGTGGGGGAGTAAGACAGGGGACGAGAGACTTACGACAGCAGGTCGTTAGTCTGTATCTTATCGTGCCTCTGGTAGTAGATCCAAAGTGATTCCAATAACTCTCGCGAACTTGAAATCCTACTGGCATGAATACTTTTACAGGACGGCTGAGTCGTGATTGGGAGTTCAGAAGGACCATCAGAGTAATAAAATATGTTCTGATCATCTCACTATTAGAGGGACGGAAGATTGATGGGGAGGTCAGTTAACATATCTCCTCTCCTCCCTTCGTCTCTCCCCTCATACTCTCATCATCCTTTACTGTCCCTTTCACACTCTAAACTCCAACAAAATCCAGCAGAAAACCACTGAACGTGCGGAATCATTAGTTGTTCTGGTGACTCTTCTCGGAAGACCTCAATTACACAATCTTATTACTGGTCCGATCACAGCAATCCGATTTTCCAGGCGTCATTTCTCTCCTAACAGTTGGAGATAATAATGTGCCAGACGAATACAAGAATCATCATAACGTTTTTAAAAAAGCGCATTACATCACCAAACGTAGTAATGACTGAACGATATCATTTGTAACCAAATTAAGGGAAAAGAAGTGATCTATGGAAGCGAAGATCTGCTAGATGATGAATCCATAGAGATCCAGGTTGTTTGCGAAATAATGACCACATAACACAAATCCTCAAACAAATATTCTGTAACGGCAATTGATCGTCATGGACCTAAAGAAGAATTTTATTGTGGGGAATAGGAGGTATAGTTCGGACCAAGTCGACTCAATCTAAGATACACCAGTATACTTCAAAAAAAAAGCAATTCCGTTAAACTGAGTTTTTTAATTATTATAAACAAGTCATAAGAGCAGACGTTCGATAGATGAAGATTGTTGTTAGATATTGCAGACTGCTTCTCTCATGGACAGTTTTATGTCGCATGTTCACGAGTGACAAAGTGGGATTCTCTGATTATCTATACTGGAACTACTTAGGAAAACAGTCACGAAGCAACCACGCAATGTTGTCTATAAATGGTCTAGACAAAATCATCACAACAGGAAAGGTGAACCTAGAGAAACACCTGACAGAAGCACTGAAAAACGTTTTCAAACTAACAGAAGAAGAGGCAATTAAGAGAATTTTACCGGATTACTATAAAACCTAACGTTCGCCAGGGCACGCGATCACCAGGCCTGGCGAACGAAAGGGATCGCCAGCTCAAACATCTTGTATTCCTGCTGAATCTAGCGCTTCGGCGACTGAAAAAAAAAAACGCGGGAAACGCAAATTTGTTAGCATCTGCAGGGCGGTATATAACCATATACAGTAAATATATATGGTTGGCACTTAGCAGGGATTTTTTTTTATATTATATTACCTTACCTTATCTATATCATATTACCTTATATTATATTACCTTATCTTACCCAACATAACCCAAGCTTAATTATTAACCTCGGGAGAAGACGATAATGTTATCTCCGTAATAGCCTCACTTTATACAAATGAATTCAAAATTACTAATTTTACATACCAACCGATAATAGAATAGTGGCACTTTAGGGGCTACGAGGTTAGGTTAGGTTAGACACCCTCATTAAGAGCGGTTGAGCAGACAGCTATGTCTCTAAGCCCGTAGTAAACATGCCATCATCAAAAACACTGTAATATTTGTGAAAAAAAATTATCCTACATCAAAATAACAACAACTTAAATCTAGATAACTCATTTCGGGGGCGGCAGGAATACAGCTGTCTTGTTCTCGACTGGAAAATTGTCTTGAAAAAACTATTAATAGAAAGTCAGTTGACTGCTGTTGAGGTACTTAGTCTCAGACGAGTGCATCAGTCTCGTAAACAATTACCCTTGCTTTATGTCATGGCGAAAGTAACAGGTGCTTTCATGTAGGTGTGGAATTTAATTATGTAATTCATGCTTTAATTATTCTTCATGCACAGCTAAAATATAGTTATCATCCTAGTGACAAAGAAAGAAAGCAGTTAATATATATTTTGTTTGTGAAAGAAGCTTTGCCATAATCTAAAATACGATTCTGAGTGAATGTCTACATGTTCCCAACGTAAAATCCTATTTATAAATCATATCTACATATGTGGCACAGTGATTCAGTTACTAGAAAAATTGGCCTGTTACATTACTTACTTCTCTGTTGTTCCCGTGGAAACTTATGACATACATATTTTGGGTGCGTTTTCTTATTTCTTTTGCAATTCAATGACAGATGTAAACAGATAGTTGAACTTCGCGCGTCGTCTGCTTCACGATGTATTTGAACAGAGACATCTGGCAGGCGTTTCACGAACTATTTGTGTGTTCGTTTGTGGGTTATCGTACTCACAGCAGAAATCCCTCTCTTTCCTATCTTTCCTGTGTAGTCTTTGGTACATACGTCATTTCATAATAAATTGTAACTTAATTTTCAGATATTTTAAAATTACAATGTGATTCCTATATCATATTATACACAAATATGTAACTGACTTGTAATTTGAAAGCAAGAAAGCGCTATTCAATCACGGAAAGGGAAAGCTCGCGTGACTTTGCTTCGCCAGGCTGTTCCAATACGACCGAACGCCAATCCGACCAT